CCGTTTGTCCCACTAAAATATTTCTAGACGGCCCACTGAAAGGTAAAAAATTTTAAAATATATATGGCTCCTTTTCCTCTCTGGATTCAGAAATGGCCAAATATGCCATTTTTCACTGAGGCCTGCCCTTTTAAGAAGATAATCAACAAATAGATCATAAATAGACTTTTCCTATTTCACCTTGTAGTATCAGTACATGACAATTAATTTTGATTGTCATGTAACTGCCTGACATTAAATTTTGGTTGCTGAGGCATCAATTTCAAAGACATTCATTTTGAATAAACACATGGCCAGCTACACAACTGGATAAAGAGCCAAGCTGCCCCATCCATGAAGTTCCCCTTTTAGAAAGCCCCGGGTGACCAAGTTTACAGACCGTTTGACCACCTGCTTTCTCCTTCCTGGCCTTTAATTACCGCTCTTGTTTTAAATTCACTGTCAAAATCCTAGGCTACCCAATATCAACGCTGATAAAGGCAGAACTCCTGGTCCACATACTCTTTCTCTACCCATGATCTTACTGTGTGGACTCCAAGACCTGTGAGTAATAAACCTTGTTTTTCCAAAGTTCCCTGACACTTGGTGCTGAGGTGCGTCCTGCAACCATAATAAGAATCGCAATGGCCAGTCCCGCCATAACAGTGGCTCTGGGCAGCAAAATGTCTGTGGGGGCTGCCACAGGTGGTAAATAAGGGCCCAGGTGACTGTCCCAGGCATTCCCAGCTGATAGCATCACTCTCTGTAGGCTGACACACAAAACACACGTCCATCGCAATTATGTCAGTTTCAAGTGAAAGTAGATTCATGCTTACATTTGGAGAGGCCTGGAGACAAAAATGGAAAAAAATGGAAAATGAAATACACAAACCCCCTAGACTTGTGACAAATCCAAGAATCTTTTCCTTGTCTCATAATAGTAATTGTGTAACCTTGAAATGAAAAATTTCCCTGACATACCCCATGGGTAGCACTTTGGTGAGAGAAAGGAAGCATTCAATGAATGTTGTTAGAATAATTTTGGAATCACATAGGTAAAAATAAAATTAGATTCCTATCCTATACTGTAACACTCAAAACTTCAAATGAAAAGAAAGTGATACGAGCCATAAAAAAAATAAATAAAAGAAAACGTACTTGAGATTTTGAAGTATTGGTGCCTTTTTAAGCAAAATATAAGATCGAGGAAAAGGCTGGCAGATTTTATACATAAAAATTTAAATCTCCTATAGGACAAAAAAAATCATAAATGAAGCTACACGTAAGCACTCAATAGAAAAAAATATATATGACAAAGCATGTATATACATGAATACAACTTATATATGCAGTTACCAATCAATAAAAAATATTAACAATTCCACAGGATAGTGGGACTATGAAAAGGCAATTCATAGAAAAAGTACAAATAACCAATAAATATAAGAAAATATGTTCAATTTTAATAATCAGGTAAATACAAATTGGGGGAAAAAATAAAAGATTTACACCATTTAATGTAAGAATCTAAGAATACAGGTGCTCCCACGCCTTGCTATTAGGATTGAATTGATATATTTTTTGGAACACAATTTAACAGCATCTATAAGAACTTAAAATGGGTGTTCCCTTTCACCTGACAATTTAACACCTAGGAATCTCTCTTACATGCGTACATCTGTATAAAGGTACCATATAATTGGGCCTGTTACTAACCTCTCTGAAACTGATCCTTCACTGGTGAAATGTTTATTTTAACAGTGTATACTTCATTTGGTTGTTAATTCTAATTGAGGTAAATTTAGCACATAACCTGGCACATAATAAGTTTAAATAAATATTACCTACTGTTATTACTATTATCATTACCACTTTATTATGAGTTATTTTTGTGTACCTATGATTTATAAACAAAAATGTCCATCAACAGAGAAATACATGACAACATGCACATAAATGTACATATACACATCAATCTCCAAGACACTGTGTGAAGAAAATCATATAAATATGTATAGATTATTTCCATTTATATTTAACCACCTGTGTATTTGCGTGCGTGTGTGTGTGTGTGTGTGTGTGTGTGTGTGTGTGTAAAAGAGAAAAAAATGTGTTTTATAACGGTCTAAGGATACCAAGCTGTTTTTAATGCCTGATTGGAACAAAGGGAGCAAGTGAAGACAAACATATTTTTTTATCCCGTGTCATTCTAAATTTCTTGAATTGTGACCTTTCTTTTAAATAGCCAAAAGAAGCTGCAATGTTCCTTCTAAAACCAGTGAACTTGCCTCATCTGAAACCATAACAGCTGGAATATATGACTTCGGTCAATTCTAGCCAATTTGGTCATCTAGTTTTTCAGATTAGAAATGATAGAAGATCACTTATGATCTATATTTTGCAAACCTTTTAGGAAGACAGAGATTTACGACTCATTTTTTTAAACGGGAACTTAAGATGAGCTTAAGTCATGTGAAAAAAGTCTGATTGTTAATAATGGCAGATTCATGAGGCGTTTCTGAACAAAATTATTTCATCATATTCTGACTCAAGAACGCTTCATTTGAGAAACCTATAAAATGTTTATATTCTTCAATTAATACCACACATAGAAATTATTAATATTGTGCTGACACAAAGGAATTCGCTAAGAAGGCCTCCTGTTGTAACGATGGTGGTCATATTCTCCCATTGCTGAAGCTCTGTCAGTGGATCTAAGCCCCCCTCTTCCTTCCTCACAAGCAATGATAGGGAGCCAGGCTGGCTGGCAAGTACCTCACCATAGCTTCTGCCTTATTCGAAACACTATCAAAAGACAGTCATCAAGAGACCACATATAGGCTAAAGAAGACCAATGCGTAGGTAGCTCCTTTTCACTGTTCTACCACTAAATGAAACTATAGCCTACTTCTAATTCAAGAAAAGAAAAATAGTTCAATAGAAGCAATCTTTCAACCCGATAAAAATAGAAAAAAAACTTAGAAGAGGAAATCATACCACAACAATTCTCTATAGATGATATCAAATTCTACCCAAGAAATAAGTGGGTTTGGTTTGACTCTAGAAATTTCATCTGGTACAATACAGTTGTTATAAAACCATTAAAAGCAAAAATGAATAACATTCATTGAGTACTTATATTTTTCATGCTCTGTGCTACGTAGTTATAGGTGTTACCTCATTTGCAACTCAGACTCTTACCCCATCTTACAGATGAGAACTGAAGTTCATAGGTACTTTTCCACAAATCTAGCACGGGTATCACTCCCTGGTCCCAGTTCTTAACCATTACACATGTCACCATTCTACCACTGAATGTGGCTGATGAGACAGAATTTCAAAATATCTGTCATCAGTCTAATAATAACAATATCCTAAGGTATTGTCTATATTTTGTGTTTGTCAATAAACACATGCTCTTTACCACTAAAGACATATTTATAGCTTTAATCTACTTCGTTCACTACCAACTAGAATTAGTACTAAAACAGCTCAGCCTTAATTCCACAAAACTTTTAAATAAATGTGGTAATGATTTATCTTCTTCTCATAATGTTTACCCAACAAAAACCATATTTTAGAGAAAGGAGACTCAATGAGTGTTTACAAAGTATATATGTATCTAATGTTAATTCACAGAAAGCATTTTTAAAATACTTTTTCAAAAACTGAGTGTATGTACATAAAGCAGTTAAACCCATAAGCATAATAATTAATTAGGATTTTCCAGGGCCAAAAATGCTTCATAACTATGAGCACGTACAACCTGTAAAGCAACTAACGTTTTCACAACATAATTTTTGAAAGCCTTTTTGCTAGCCATGCTCATATCTAACTTGCTACCACATTGGTAGTTCACACTACTTACTACAGACAATATCGACTCTTCCGCCAAAAATTCTGAACTTTCTGAAATTTTACTTTTCACAAAAATATGTAATATACTTTGAATGCTACAAATTCAGTTTCTATATAAATTATCTCATACATGTTGATTTGGGAACTGAAAAAAAGTAACAATTTTGGAGCAAATGCTTATACATACAAGCTACAAATGAAGGTGTAGCTTTGAAAAAAATATACGATCCTCAAAAATCTACATTCTCCCAGCTGAAAACTATTTAAAAGTCAGTTTTTAATTCTTGAGTACACTTAATGCAAATTAATCTTCCATTTCTTCAGTTCTTAAAATTAATTTCTGTTGTAAGGGTTTTAATAAAGTTCAATTAAAGTTTAATGCAATAAAATAGCTTCTGCACATAATAATTTAGCCACCAATGTATTTTAGTCAACTTATGATTCAATAAAAAATCATTCAGGCAAATTATAATTACTTTCTGTCATGCAGCTGTCTCAAAAACAGGAATATATACATTTTCCACAGTAGTGAATATACCTAAGATATGTGTGTTTCATTTAAAAAAAAAAGGCTAGAGTTTCTATTCAATTAATACTAAGAAAAATATTTTAACATAGTTTCTAACTATAATGATGTCCATTTATTTCATGTCATTAAACTCAATACGACAACAAAAAAAACACTTACTATCCTGGATTTTGCTAATGTTATGTCTTACGCTCCACACTGCGTAAGTAGACTGATTGTACAGCTAGAAAATAATATAAGCTTTAAAAACACATATGTCTTACTACTTCATACTATGTAAAGTTTTTCATTTTTATAAGCTTAAAACTATGTTTATTTTGATTAGAAACGATAAAGGATGATGTAAGAATGCTGATTTTTTCCAGTTCCATAAATACACTGAATGTAGTAGCATTTGTAAGAAGTCATCTCCCTCCTCCCCCTATATTTCTCTATTGCAGTGAACAGCTAAACTGCCTGCCTCAGAACTGATTAGCACCTGGCTAAAAATGCAGAGTTCTCAGTCCCAGAGCCACTGGTGCAAAATCTCTGAGGAAGGGACTCTGGGGTCCTCAGATGACTCTTGTAAAAGCTGGGGTTTGAAAACTACTTTTCTACAGCCATTATCCTTGCAGTAAAACCACAAAGTATTAAGTGGATTTAAGAATAATTTTTAATTTTCAAATTGTACAAACTGCATTTTAAAACACAGGGGTAAGGCACTATCGTAAATCAAGAAATAAAATGTATTTTTACAGCAATTTCAATCTTGCATTTACATATCATCTTAGCAAAGTGGAATACCACAGTTAAGAGCATATAATAACATAGAAGAGAATGCTATATTTAATAGTTTTAAAGCAAAACCAAAGTATGTTAATTATGGAGTTTTATAGTCTAGCGGCATAAAAGCCAATATAAAGGTGAGTTAATAATATGCCTGGAAATTGCATATATAAAAGAATTTACTACTTTTCAAGCACTTAAAAAGACATCAATCTTCGTGTATCAGAGCACGGGCATATTAATCAGGTAACAAAAAAATTTCAGGGCCTTGTTTCAAAGCCAAATTCCAATGAATTAGACCAAAAGGCCTTCTATTAGCAAAATATCTATGTGTTAACTCTGTAACCAAAATACTGAAACACAAAAATTCTAAAACATCAAAGTCAGTATCACTGGTAGATGGAGCAAATCAATATTCCTGCCCAAGAGTGAATAAATTAAATCTGATGAGGAAACATCAAACAAAGTCAAACTGAGAGACTTTTTACAAAATAATCATCCTGTACTATATTGAAAGTGTCAGTCACAAAACACAAAGAAAATATTCCAGGCTAAAAGAGATGACAACTAAATGTGATACCTGAACCTGGATTGGATCTAGAGCCAGAACATACACGTGTTCGGAACATCAGGCTGATGAGATTTGAATAAAGGCTGTGGTTTAGATAAAAGTATTCAATCAACATTAATTTCCTGATTTTGATCACTGTATGGTGGCTATGTCAGAGAATGTCCTTGTTCTTAGGAAATATACGCTGAAGGAATTAATGTTTTTCAACTTCTCTCAAATGGTGCACAAAATATTGTAAGTGTGTATGGAGAGAAAGTTATGGCAAATGAAACGGAATGTTAACAGGTGGGGAATTTGTGTGAAAGTTTTCTAGGTTTTTGCTATTTTCCGGTAAGTTTGAAATCATTTCAAATCAAAAGTGATAAAAACATTTGTAAAAGCTATATCAGAAATACTAAAAAAATCTAAAATTTTTAGAATATATTTTAAGCTTCTTATCTAGAAGTACTTATGTCTATTTAAGATGTTTTGTAAATTTAGCCCCAAAATATGAAATTTAATGCTTTCATACTAGAAATTACAAAACTGTATTGCTCTTTTTTATTCTATTATACATATATTTCAGATCTGCATATATATTAAAAGAAAATACTTCTACATTTACATATTCATTAGAAAAATATTTTAAATGTTGCTTTTTATAGTTAATTTTTCCTTAAATGCTGCCTTAATGATTTATATTATCAGTTTCATACCAATAATTGTAATTTGAAAGTAGATTTAAACCAGAATGTTATTTAGTGGTTCTCTGATATATTTAAACATGTATATGTAACAAAGAACCCTGCCACATCAGATTACCAAATATACTTTGTTAAAGTACAGATAATTATTATGCAATGTGACTTCCTAAGCAATTTAACCTAATAGTGTAGTAATAGTGTCAAAGTTGAGGGTGGAGAGAGGTGTGACAGGAGGAAACAGTACTTAGCATACAGTAGGCACAAAATAAACATTTGTGGCAGGAAAAAAAAACGATTATTACATAATTCCCTATCACTTGTAATATATCATCAGAAACCATTAGACAGTGGCATAATAATCAGATGTTTAAAAATCTAAAGGTGCAAAAAGCTTCTAAGAATCTACAGAAATTACAAAAGCTTTGGTGAAAATGACTTTTTTAATACTTATTTGACATGCCATTTTCATTAAGCTATACCTATCAGGGATGTTTCTATATTTATATCAAATTAAGGCCATGAAAAATAAAAGATGTGTATTATACATATTGTATAACGTATCAAGCAATAAAGCTATGAAAAATCTAAAACCAGAATATGAAGGAATGTTACTAAATCCCATTGAAAGTTGCTAGTGTTAGCGTTTCTTGATGTATATTTTCAAAAGCTAAAGTCTATAGGATTGAATTCAAGTTCTATTTGATTCAAGTGCTGACTAGGCTATTGGAAGGAAAGGTACGGTGACAGTCACAGGAAACAAGTACAAAAGACTTACAAATACTTTCTTTTTAAAACCAAAGTGCTGTTTAAGCATTCTTTTCTACACAAAGAACAGTTTGGAACTAGTTGAAATGGAAGATACTGAAGATGAACTAAACTTAAAGTTATACATACTTTGAATATATTAATATAAGTCACTGAATAGTTTGATGCATTTTCATTTTTATTAAAGTTAATCACAATTCCTACTTCAAGATATTCCACAACTTAAGGGCGGGGGTGGGGGGGCAGGGAATATTACTGAGTATTACCGCTGCTTGAAGGAAGTACAAGTTGAATTAATGCAAATTTTAGGAAAAGAATTTGAAATATTTTTCATAAGATAGGCATCTAAAGAGATAAATATGTGAACTATTTATACTATGTTACCGAAGATAAAAACTCCTTGAAAATGTCTTCCATATAAAAATTCCAGATGAAAACAGATCAAGCCATGTAAGCAGAGAATGAACATTAGCATTTTGAGAATTAGTAACCTAATACGTATTGCTTATTACAACATTCAGCTGCAGAGGAAATATTAAAATGTAATATAATAAAAGAAATAGCACCTTTTAAAAGTCAAGTTACCAAAAATGAAAGTTTGCAAAACTGTTCTGAACTACAAACCTCCACATGAAATAATTTGAAAAGGGGATGGTAACACAAAATTTTGAAGACTAATGTTATACGTTGATGGAAATGCAAATAGTACAGAACGCATGAAGCCAAAATCACACCTATGGATCTATAGTGGGCAAAAGTTACTTTTCTTATAAAGTTACATATTTAGTATTCTCTCTAAACTGAGTCAGTAAAGCAGCATACCTTTACATAAGGAGGAACATTTTTAAAGGACCTACTTAAGAATTAAAGTAGTATTAAAGTATATCTTTCAGTGTATCGTTCTATTCAACACAGAGATAGGAGTTTGACGACTTTTTGATATTCAATGGAATTCAGAATAAAACAAGTCTGTTTCAGATCATAGCCCAAAACTTCTCATTACCTAAGTACTTCAAAGGGATTATCATAACATGATTTTCATTTGATGATTCCATGATAGACAGCAGCCTTTCTCGGCCACAGTTCTGAGTATAACATCATGATCAGACCCAATGTTAACTATGATTTTCCAAGTGAGGCAAAGTATATACTTATATTCTTTCTAATCCCTTAAAATCCTTAGGGTTGAAAAGGTTATCCTTAAGTGGTTAATTCAAATAAAAATAAATTTGCTCAGTGGTATGCACAATTTCAACGGCCTACACATATTTTCAAAGAATATTTTTCAATTGTGACATCTACCTGAATTTTTTTAATACAGCTATTTTATCTATATTGAAAACTGTATCATGGTAAATTATATATTCATGCTTCCAAAAGTTGGTATTAATAAAAAATGTTGCCTTATCACTTGAAATAAAGAAATCTTGGGTGCAAAAAACACTAATACATTATTAACGAGTTATAATTCTGTATTTACTTTCATTTATAAATATCATATCAATATCACTAGCAGGTATCATAATATGGTTAAATCATTAAACTAATTTCTATATTGACCAAAAAAGCTTTGAGCATATATTGCAAAAACAAACTTACTCAAACTAAAAAGGAAAAAATAAATGTAAGGTTTTTTGCAGGTAACACACGATTATTTTTTTAATGATCATCATCTACCCAGGAGTTGGTAAATACTTGCATAGTTCTTGTAGAAAAAAATGGACCTGGCACAATGTGAAGACAAATACTGGCAAATACCACATGTCTCAAGTTGTATTTGAAGAAATGATACAATCTGTAATATTTCGTGAAGTCATTTATTCTTGTTATTAAAACTTGGACTCAAGCAATCCTGGTTATTCTGGAAAAAGCACCTTGTTTGTAGGGGTCATTTAATCATCCTTTTCTACAATCATCTCTCCGTGAAGCACCCTTCTTCTTTGACGTAGCATGTGAAAATAGAGTTGTGGAAACACTTAATTGAAAAAAGAAAAGAAAGAAAGATAAACTATGGTGGGAAATTCTGTGCACTTGAAACCTCTTAAACATGGCAAACTTTAAGAGCAAGCACATCAGATACCACTGCTACCCCTTAATATTTACAGAGCTCAGGGTAAGAGTACAAATGGAAGCCCACATACCATCTGCCTAAATATCTTAATGCCACAAACTGTGGGGTATTTTTAGCAAACTTAAATATCTTGATATATATACCTTCATAATGACTTGGAAGGCCATGTTTGAAAGTAGAATCCTGTAACACTTTGGAATACTGTGCCAGAACATTCCAGCACATTCTATTGGCTGTTTCATACCATGAGGGGGGTCTTGTGAATATATGCGTGGATACCCAAGCCCATACGACCCTTACCCAATCTATACACCTCACAAACGGCTATCCCTAGCTACCCCTTGATTTCAGGGCTATGTACACTGGTGACATGGTTACTCAGGAGAACAGACTGGGGCAGAGGCTTATGCAGTCCCTAGATGTATGCTCAGTGCCATCTGAGTAGCAAATTCCATAGTCCCATGTTTCTGGAGTGTGATCTGGGGGGTGGGGACTGGGGGTGCTGTGTGGAGGGCCAGGACAGGGCCTAGAGCAGAAGCCCCTCTTGGCTAGGTATAAGGGTGGTCTGTTATATACAAGCTCATAAATGTATATGCATCAGGTGAGTTAGACAGATGGTCATCTGTCCTATCAAATCTGAAAAATTATTTTGAGCCAATTTGAACCAGTGCTTTAAATTATAGTGTAAGTATTGGTGGATGGACAAATTAACAACAGTTATAAAGAATACACAGATAAAAACATTTCTGAAAATGATGAGAATAACCAAATGAATGAATTAAATTACAAAACGAGCTTGACTATGTTGCTTAGACAACTTTGGATAATTATTTTTAGAACTTAGCTCAAATGGGGCAAAAATGCACAACAGATTTTATTGTTTTTTCAATTTAGGTACTACTCATCTTGATAGATGTAACCATCATATTACACCTAGAAGCCTAAACATATTCAGGTCACATAAACTTAACTAATTACTGCAAATGCTTCTATAACACTCTGAGTAGTTTAGTAGCAGTATAGGCTGGAATTCAAATCTTGACCTTATTTACTAGCTGGGTGATTTTTAAGCCATTTACTTTACCTATCTCATCTGTAATGTCCTCGTTGATAAATGAGAACTGATAGAAGTTCTTTGGAGTACTAAAATAAGTACTCGAAAAGTACTTTTAATACTTTTAAATAGTAAAGGATTTAATAAGCAAAGCAAAATTAATTGTTATTACTACTTATATTAATAATCAGGTGGAAAACATGCCCCTGGCTGACTGATCTTCCAGCGAGGAGGCCTCTCAGGTAATTGTCAGCATGGGAAATTGAGAAGCTGCTACTGGCTTAGAGCAGAGTCTACATCCCCCAGGACACCTGAAAACACACAGTTAAAAGTTACTGGTTTGATGATGGTAAACCATGATGTGTAGGCCCTGGGTTTCCATGGAGATGTCTCAGTGATGCTGAGGAAGAGGGGACCCCATACCTGAGCCTGCAACTATGATATGACAGACACTGAAACAAGGTCTGGCTCTGCTCAAGGCGAGCTGCCATTCCCTAGGTGTCGGGAACAGCAGGGGTTATACATGACAGTTGTAGGTTTACCACTCCTTCGCCCTCCTGACCTGGCTTTGGGGGATAACCTAATGAGAGTCAGGCTGAAATGGTACAAAAATAGAGGAATGAAAACATTATCTGACCGTCAAGTCAATTTGAATTTTAGAAAAGCTTAGAAATTAGAGATTTCAAGGGGTTGGCCAAGTTTAATGCTCAGCCCCTTTAGATGAAATATTTTTTCTTATGACAATGTAGATTTTTAGATTCTATAAACTTTTCTCATTTCTCTCCCCACCCCCACTGACATCAGTCTTTAATTTTATTGAGAAAGGTAAAAGACAGCCTTGCTTTACCTTCGTATTACCTACTACTGACTATGAAAATTTGAGCTAAAAGCAAGCACTATTAGTACTTAAATGAAGCAAGTAAAGCCTCATCAATTCATTGCAACTACTGAAAAGTGATAAATTAGTTAAGAGGCTGAATTATTCAAAATATTTTAACAAAAGTGGCTTCATTATTTTCTAGTACATAGAGCAACACACGTAAGGCCAAAAAATATGCCTAGATGATTTTTCCAAGTACATACTTAATGAATAGATAGAAATTACTGAAAATTTTCTTGGATACAATGTTTCTATTCAGATACCTAATTTTAAATGCTTTACAAATAGTTCACTAATGCATGCTTTATCTTTTCTTTAAAAAGATAAATCATAATAAGCTTATTTTTAAGTAATTTGGGGAAAGCAATCATTTGTGTATTTATTTACTGACCCTTTTTCTCTTAAGTAGAAAAATGTCTTTTGATTCATTCGCTCTTCAATTATTTCAAATTATAAATACATGTGGAAGGGAATAGAGGTTTCAGTGTTATCTGTAAGCCATTATTTCTTTCTCCTTGTTTATTAAGCCAGAGATTATAACTTTTTTAGAACTTTCATAGCATATGCTAAATCAAAATACTAATAAATTCATACTTACATGGTATATATGAGGCCATGGTTATAAGAAGAAAATAATAGTAGTCAAAAGAGACATTGTATTTATTAGGAAGTCTTATAGAAAACATTCCCGTTTTCTTCACATATGGTAAGGCAGCATATATCGTGAGAAGTTCGCCAGCAACTCCGACAGGATATAAGATGATAAAAAAATTATATCTGGAGAAAGAGAAACCTCAGAGAATTATTTTTCCAGAATAAGTGTCAAATCTAATATCACGGTTCTTTGGCTACTATATTTCAACTTAAAAATTCTCCTTCCTATACATACTTATAACAACCTCACATAAAAAGGTTATTTTTTTTGTTTTAATCATTTGCTTAATTTATCATGTTTTTTTCTCACTACAGTTACCATTTTAAATGTCAAGATCATAAGAAAATAAGACATCAACTTACTTTACAGTACTTAAATAACTATAAAAATTTTAAATGTATATGCAATTTTTATGAGTATTATGAGTATTATGTGAGTATTTATGGGTATTTATATGAGTATTATATCATAAAACAAAAGTAAGTATTGTAAAATATTGTAAAAGTACTTCTTTGACACCTGAATCTTAAGTGATTGATTTTTCCCCTGTAGCTAGTCACTGACTATTCATATACTGTGCTTTAAAAGACCAATTATGATCTAATTTTATACCTAAATCTTGAAATTACCAAAGCAGTGCTTTGGAGACACTTAGAAAACTCTACGTGACTACTAACTGAAAGAGAACTACTATTTCGTAAAACAGGCAATACTACCTAAAGCATCAGTAACTACTAGTGAATACATTGTCTAAAACTGCTTTTGTGACAAAAAAAAGTCAAGACAAGTTGTTTCCTGAACCCCACTCCCCCTCCCCAATTAAAAAGGGATAGTTTAGTTTGCTTAAACTAGAGCTGAAAAAGTTCTATTCAAAATCCAAAACCACAATCTGTTCATTTGGACTGCGGCAAGTTCTCTGACACAGAGTATGCCAGGCATCATGTATGTTCCAGCTAGGGAATAGTCAGGGACCCAAAGAAATGGCATTTTTCCATCTTAAAAAAAAATAATGATTTTTTTTTTCTCTAAGTCAGTCTCTATATAACAGAAAATTAAGGTCAAAATTTTGCTGGAAAAAGAACCCATATTTTATTTAATCATTTTGTTGCCACTAAGAAATATTTATACAGAAAAGTCAAATTTGTCAGTTTGGCAAAAGGCTTGGAGATGACTTAAAAATCACGTTACACCTATATGCCAAGGGTAAGAAATAATGGAGTGGGGAAAGAATTACTAGCCAAAATAGATTCACTGGTAAAGAAAGAAAAATGATCCTTTTCCCTGTCCCCATTTATCCCCTCCTTTGCTTCAGTATATCATGTGCTTTCTTACCAGAATTCTGTAGTGATATGTAAGTCATTGAAATCAATCTTGTCCTATCTCAATTTAAAATCACATAACTGAACATATCATATTCCCCTTTCATGTAAAACATTCAAACTTATTTAAATGTTTTTTTTTTTTAACTTTACGTGACTCAGATTTTTTTTTGGTGGGGGGAGTAGTATTGTTCTTTAGAAGGAAAAAAACCACTCCTAGAATAAACTAGTTTAAAGCCTTAAAGACAGTGATTATTTTTAATGAAATGGAAACAAATTACAAAATTTATTTGACTTTATTTGAATTTTAAAAAGACTGCATGTTACCAACTCTCTAAATTCTGATGGCAGCATGCAAGATTTACCTATTCAGAAAAAGATATAATGCTTCTTTGAAGATTCCTAATTGTCATATAAAATTGTTTTGAAGGGAATGCATTTTTGAAATTAAAATGGAAATCAATACAAAAACATAACAATATTCAATTATCTACTTAGTAGACTTTTCCAGGCACACTTCTAACACATAAATAAAATCAAATTATATTCAAACTGTCACAGTAGGCCAACTATTTATAAATAAAAAGGCATTTCTAAAGTGAGTTTTATTTGAGAATAGCAGTTTCAATATTGTCAACATAACTACAAATATAATTTTAGGTTATTTAATGGGGTTGGCAAATACATAGAGATGGTTGGTATCTTTAAGATTTGTGACACAAAATATAATTATTTATGATTCTGAACTGACATATTATGTTAACATGTGCATTTTGAAGTTGAAAGATTTTATCCTACCTTTTTAACACTTAGGCAATTGACAAAGGATTTCTAAACAGCAAATTTAAACATGCAATGGCAGAGTTGTGAACTCTTCCAGAAATTCAAGACATGCAAATGAATTCCAAAAGGCAGACAAAGCATTGAAGGCCATTATCTTCCACAAACAAATTTACAAATATAGCAAATGAAAAGAGGCCATTCCATGAATTAGTATTTTATAGGCACTAGAGGTCCAGGAGACTGGGATCATGCAAAATGGCATGGACACACCTTCCAGGAACAAAGCCCAGCTACCCTCCAAACCGCCAACCTTGTAAAAGGCCCAATCACGAAAAGTAAGTTTTCAGATACAAAAAAAAATAAAACCAACCAAACGCATACAAATAAATGGTGGTGCAACCTCCTTAAAACAAAAATATGTTTAAGCTCGAATTATAATTTTAAAGCATTTTATTATATACAAAGTGGTAAGCCACGAATGTCTAAAAAGGAGCTAGAGAATATTAAAAAGTGGAAAAATACATAACAGCTGCTCCAGGAATTCAAACTTTAAAAAGAACAAAACACCTTTTGCTTTAAAAATCGTTTCAGGATAGATACATTTAGAATCTTTGAAATATAAATTTTGTTTCTATTGTAAATAATACAATTTCAAATAGGTGTGACTTTTAAAAATGTCATCTCTGCTACTTAAAACATACAAAAAAGTTCACATTGTATATGAGATATTAAAAATTGTGCATACCAGATTGAATATTAAAATAATTTAAGTCAATGAGACAAAATGTCATATTTTTGGCACAGTTTAATTCCAAAAATATATATTTTGCTTTCAAAACAAAAATGAAAGGCCAATTAAGAGGTTATTTAAGGATAGTAATACAGTTTGTCTTGTACTGATTTCACCCAAAATAAATATTACTATGAAACCTCTTCGATCATTAAATTAAGCCTTGACAATCAAGTTATAACAGCGCTGATACCCAAAACAACAGCACGCTGACATCACAGGGCTAAGACACAAATGTTAATTCACTGGCATTAGCTCTGCAACAAAATACGCATGCACAGGACTGTGAGAAACTAAGCTGCATGACATCGCCACCTGGCCCATTTAATGAAGTATGGCAAGTGGTCGAGAAGACTGAATGTGTAGAAGGAATAGCGAGTGATCTCAGTCACAGTCCACGCGACCAGAAAAAGCACCACACTCTCTTCATTCTGGATCTGCAGAATGACAGAGAAATCCACAGTGTTGTTCAGCGTTGGGCGTTTTTCTCCACGAAGATATTTTATCTTAATTATTTACTACATGTCTTTTCTTATAATGGTATGGTAGGGTTAGACAGATGCAATACAGAAAACGTCATACAGTCACCACTATGTAATTCATTACAAACACACAACTAAACTATGTCCTAAGCACAGGAATGTCATTTTTCTACTGGTTTCTCTCTCTCGCCCTTCACTCCAGCCAGTAACTCAACCATCCCAGGTCAATAACACCCCCTCAAAACCAGCATGGGAACAATCTGACTCTCTGACTTTCTGCTGGTTGTTAAATCAGACCCATTCTACTGTAGCGCAAACTCCTGAATCTGCCCATTTGTTTTTGGCCCTGCAACCACCAACTTAATCCAGGGCTTCATCATCTCTTATCCAAACTACTGTAACAGCCTCCTAAAAAGTCTCTCCTCTCTTTATGATCTTCATGGATGGAAGTTTTCTCTTAAATGTGAAACAAAGACACAAACAAGAAAAAAAAAAACAAAAACTGGAAGCAGCTAGTCCCGTGACTTGAAAACGTCACTGGTTCCCCGCTGCTTAATGGGAGAAAAGGGTACAGTCGGACCTCCTGAGCATGATGTTCAAGGTTCTTGACAATCCGAGCTCAGAAATCTCTCTGACTTGATCTGCAAGTACTCGCACCCCCATCACCTCTTTCTGGTGACACTAAACTCTATATTATTTTCAGAAATATTCTCTGAACATCTGCACCTTAATACATGCTCTTTGCTCTAACCAGAATGCTACTCCCTTATTCCTTCTCATAGAAAACCCGTTCTCGTCTCATCTTTTAAGATCCAGCTAAGACATCACACCTGCTGGAAAACTTTTCCCAAACCCCTCCTCTCACCCTGAGCAGTTATTTGCTCATCTTCCTGTTCTTACAGAACTTTGTTCATACCTATAACACTTGCCAATTGCATCAAAATTTGTCTGCCTAATTTCTGGATATTTGTCAGTGCTCAACTTATACATCCTTTCCTCGGAGAGCCTTCTTTCTCTCCGTAGGTCAGGCTAAGTCCCCAGGTACATTGCAACATGTATTGGTCTCTTATTTCAAGGCACTAATACAATGATTATTTGTGCAACCACTTATTTAGCATCTCTCCCAATTACAGGCGCCGTAAGGTGGGAACCATATTTGTATTATTAACAGCCAGATCTCAGCACGGTGTCAGTCACAGAATGGGTGTGGAATTGGTATTTGCTGAATGACTCAACATCTGTATGACTACCCCTCACTCCCCAGCAGTCAGTACACATGACAGCAGGGACTGCCTTGTTCATTTTTGTACATCCAGAAATGAGCACAGTGCCAGATGTGCAGAATGAATGTACAGAATGGTTGAATTAATTAAAGAGTGATAGAGAGATGACAATGGGAAACCATTGCTGAAGAAAATTAAGTAGTAGTTATTAAGGTAGAGACCCACTGGAGGATTAAAAAAAAAAATAGCAGAGGGATCTTTTTCCTCTTGGGGACTAGCCACCCTCAGAGTCTCTTTAACTTCTTTTCGCCAGGTGATGTTGGCCACCCTGTCTTGTCTTTCTTCTTCCACACTCTTCAGACTCTTTGTGGTCCAGCTGTTATATTCATTCACTATCTGGAATGGTCTCTCTTCTATTCTGTTAATGCTGGAGTCCTGCTTTTAAACTACGGGGCAATCTGAATAAAAAGTCTGGCTCTCCGTGTGCCATGTGCTCATTGCCATCTGCATGGCAGTCACTGGTTAGGGACCAAGCGGATCGAGCAAGCTGAGAGAAAGAGAGGGCTGAAATGCAGAGTCATAAAAGGCAAAAAAGGTCAGCGATCTGTCCCCATGCAGACAGGAGGCCAGTGAGTCCCACAGGCGCTCAAAGGGAAGTTAGGTATCCTCCCAAGCCCAGGAGACAAGAAAGGCATCTGAAGAATGGAAAGGAGACCAGAGATCTGTCTTCAAGCAGACAGAAGACTCCAGAGACTGTCAAGAAGGTCAGAAGGGCCCATCTAGGAGGTGTTTCTGCCTTGGGTTTAAAAGGCCCGATGTCCTGACATAGTAAGTATGAGGTCTGCTTGTCTGTCTCGAAGGGTTTAAGCCATTAATTGGATTCAGGTCTGTCTCCTGTCATGCCTCAATAAATAACGTGGTTATTTTTCCCTAAGTTCCTCAACCCTTCTGATTTTCAGTCTTTGCCATTTGTTCAGATCTCCAGGCCTACATTTACTTTTCTGGTCTGTGGCTACAACCCTCAATGCTAAATGAGGAAAAATAAGCTGTTTACACCGACTTCAATTACATAATCAATGTACATAACGTCAATAGAAAAGAAAATTATCTTTTTAACCATTTCACAGAACAAGAGTATTTTTAAAACACCCGAGGAGAGTACATTATGAATACAGAATGCCAATATTGGGTTTTGCTTGTGTTTCAAAGTCATTCTACTAGTTCATGGAGTCAGTGGACAATCACACTTAAATCCAAACCCAATCTTTTTCTGTCCAACGGTCTGCTTCCTGAAATATAGCAATGTTAATATTTTAGATTACTAACAATAAAAACTCTGTCTCCTCCAGGCTCAAGTAAAGAACATGGTCATGCCACTTACTGGTTTTATACTGTGAGTAATGAGCCACACCATAAAGATTCTTGAACTCACTTGGACCCCAGCCACAAGCACAGAAGTAGGTACGATTCCTTAAAGAAAAAAACAAGTCAACCATTGTCCTCAAGGCAATTTATGTCCAAAATGAAAATTAAACAAATCACTCACCAATTAAACAGTGGACTATCTGTAAGCGAATAAAAAAATCACAAGTCAGTAACATGCAACATGAAATAAATCCCTGTCGACATCGGTTTTAAACAAATCCACAGGCGTAGCATAATCAGCAAAATAAAATTAATTTTTCAACAAATAAATTTTCAAATAAACACGACAACAGTAGAAAAACAGCATCATTGAAAACTTACCTCAAGCACGGCAAATGTCTGGAAAAATTTAAGTGTCTTCTGAATACTTTTATATAAACCCTTGTGTGTTCCTTTTTCCATATAAAAACGTACCATGGCAATAGCTAGAACCAACCACCTAGAGAAAATAAAGTATTTTATAAAATTCTATCAAAATAATTACCACCGATCTTCCTGAAAACAAATGCCACAATTTATATAGCAATAGCGTGTATGTTTCATTATTTTCTCAGTTCGTTACTCTATTTAAAAAACCCGCAGAGAGAAATGACAAACATTATTTTTACACTGACTCTACAAGGAATGAATGGAACATATTCATCCCCTTGTAGGCTTCAAACAACTGTCAATCAACGTCCATTGTACTTTTGGTTTCAGCAGATAAACTGATAGACTGAAAAAATCAGGTTTATTACCAAAAATAGAATTATAAAGCATTTAATAATTATATAAAGATTTCTTAAAGTAAAAAGGTGTGCTGTATAAATGTGTGCTTTATACAAATCCACAGTATATAATTATATGTAATTATAAGGAAAAAATCTTTATTAAGAATATTTTTATAATTTTCATTAACTATTTCTGTGCCACAGAAAGGATACACAGAAAGTCAGGCATGGGCCTTCTTTCAAAAGTTGATCTTTAAAAAGAAAAAATACCCATGTCTTCCCTTATCAACTTATATTTGCACATTAAATATAGATTCTATACTGTGAAATAACAGTACTTAAAATACAAGCCACACTTGGGGAGACCAGCTTTCTCACCCTTCCATTCAGCCTCCTGGAGTCACTGAGGAGAGGTAATATTTTTTCTCTAGTAAGGGCTTCGCAATTACAAAAAGCATAATTAAGTTATTAAAAGTTGCACCATCTGTAACTTTTAAAAATCTTTAATAAAATACCCATGGAAATGAGTAGCTACCCCAGGCTTTTAAATTTTAAATCGGTCTCCAAAGTGTCTAGTTAAAAGGATTTATGAATGATAAAATTATTATACAGTTTTAACTTTTTAATTAAAGAACAGTCATAAAATGGACAAATGGCTTAAAGACTCCTGCAAAGAAACTACTGATTGAATAAGATAAAAATGCAAGCTTTACAGAACAGTAAGAAAACGGCAGAATGACACTTCTACCCCTCCTCAGCACAGAATGAGGTAAAAGCCATGACTTTTTTATGAGATGTGACAAATCAGGTAAATGTCTGAAACTATCACAAAGACCTTTGAAATGGAGAAATAATAACAACAACAAGTATACTTTCAGAGTGCTTTCCGTGTATTAGACACTATTCTAAATACACATTTAACATATTAATATTCCATCCTCGCAATAACCCTAGAAGGTAGCAACTACTAATATCCTATTTTACTGCTGTGGAAATAGGCAGAAAGGGTGACGTAGCCACTCAGCTGGGACCTAACCCCGCTACCGAGCTCAGAGTCTTGAAGCATATGCTGTACTGGTCTGGCTCGAGGTATATACTGTGCCGAGGTATATACTGTGCCTATGATTCACTAATCATAGTGATTCATGTATTTAATTTATAAGTAAAATTTAAAAGTTACATGGAGAGTTATGCTCAAATATTTTCACTGATAGGAGTGTGCCAGCAAAACTTTTGGATGCCACTGTTTTCTGAGACAATCACCATGCAGAGACATCAAGTGACTTATTTATCCTGAGTCTCTGAGTAAGTTAATGGTCGAGTGTGAAACACAACTCTTGAGGTCTCCAAACCCCAGTGCCGCTCCCTGTTCACTACACCACAGCTTTACTGAACTCAACTGATGGTGTCACCCCATGTGACAGCCCACACTGAATTCTGTGCTGGGCTGACCAGAGGCCACTAATCTGGAGAGCATTTTAGACGCCTTCCAGGTTTAAGATGTTATGACTTCATCATCCTCAACTCCCAGTCCCTAGACTACTTCTAATAAGGAAACAAAAAGTTTAATAAGATGTTTTCATTCACATTTTTCATACAATTGTCTTTTTATTTTTAAGGCAAATCCTTAAAATCAGATTTTTCAAAAGATCAATTTGAGTGGTAATTATTATGGATTACTAAGGTAACTATTAAGGTAATAATAAGGATTACTTTTGATAGCAATTATATAAAAATCCATTCATTTTAACATTATGACAAATTTTACTGTTGTTCCATAGGTGGCAATAATACCAATCACCAACCTGTTCGAAATAAAAGAAATTAACTCTCTGGGATTAGAAAGGATCATCAAACCATCTACGCTATGCTCTCGTCAATAAAGATGGCCAGGAGCTACTGTGAACTGGTCAGGGCTCGCTTCCTCAGCCCACCATCACAAGGGGTGACAATCAAAGTCTCTCGTAAGGGTTCTACGTTTGCCTAACTTTGGACTTCCTACATCCATCGGTTTAGTAATTGTAATAAAACCATAAGCGATTCCAAAAAAGACTAGAACTTCTGCAATTAGGAATTCTTTTCTGGAAAAGTTCTGTTTTGTTTTAAATATGCAGATCTATTGATTACCAAGATGAACCCAAATAGATACCACTTAGTCCTTGATCAAATTCTCTATTTGGAAAATATAAACATGTGTTCCATATGGAGAAGGTTTCTTGTTTGCTTGCTTATTAATTCACTTGTTTACTCATTCACCTTCAGGTTCAATATTTATTGCTAAGCCAGGTAGTGTGCTAGAAGCTGGGGAATTAGAGATAAACAGGACACAGCTCTGGCCTCAAGGAACTAAATTAGTAAGAGGAGACAACAGCGCGGTGCTGGAGCAGGAGACATATGCCATCACTTAATAAACACAGGGCTTTCCTCTCATGTTGCTATAGCTACAATGATCCCGAAAAACCTGATGGAAAAAGCGGCTTTCTTCTCACTGCCCTCTTTTGCTTCTTTTTCTCCTGACATTTCCTAGAAGCCACCTGTATCCTTGAAGAGCTTGGTTACCTACACCTTCGTCTTCTTTTTCTCTTCTTTTTTATTTTTCATCTCATCACTGCTTTTTAAATTTGTATTACAAACAACCCAAACATATACAAAGACGCGGAGAATGTTATAATGTGCCTGTTACTCACCTTCAACCATTATCGTCTTATGGACAATCGTGTTTCATCCAAACCTCTATTCACTTTTCTTCCCCAACATCCCTTCCCCTCATTATTCTGAATTAAAACATACGTCCTATAATATGATTCATAAGTGCTTGATTATGTATCTGTAAAGGATTTTTAATAAACATAACCATAATACCACCATCCCATTTTTAAAAATTAACAGTAACTTCTTATATCACGAAACAGAATACGAATTTCCTCAATTGTCTCATAATTTTTTTACATCACGATTGAAATAAAAATCACACTTGATAATAGTTGCTATGTCTTTTATGACTCTTAATCCACAGGTTTCCCCTCACTCTCTCCCTCCATCCGTTCACTTCTCCTCCCCTGTCTTCTCTTGCAATTTGTCTCTTGAGACAGAGTGGTTTGTCCTGCAGTTACCTTCAATCTGGGTTTTGCTAATCAGATACCCACATGTCATTTATTAGGTTCTTCTGTCCCCTGTAATTCCTGTAAATTGATAGTTCTAGAGGCCTGATCAGATAGGTTGATGTTCTAGGCCATTTCACAGGCTGTGTTTACATTCCTCTAAGGAGCACATAATTTCTGACTGTCCCTCTTGTTTGTGACGTTAGCAGTCAATGATGATTATTGCCCAGATCCATTATTTCAGCAGTTACTGAAAAATGGTATTCTAATTTTATCATTTCTTCTTCATAGTGTACCTCCTTTAAAGTAACCATTTGGAGGCTTGTACCAGAAATGTTCTTTGACGCACATACCATTCGTACTTTCATATGCTGTTCATTGACACCTCTAAATTTCCTTTCCTAGACTAAAGTGAGACTTTTGTTTAGCAGCCAATGCATGTTTCAACTTACTGCATATAGACACTCATGCCAATAGAGTTAAGCTGAAAGGTTCATAAGAGAAAAAAATCAACAGATAATTGGAATTTATTAAGACCATCTTCTCTTTGAGAGACACTGTAAAGAGAATGAAAAGCCAAGCCACAACTTGGAGAAGATACTGACTAGTCACATACCTGAGAAAGGACTTGTATCCAGACTATGTAAAGAACTCTCAAAACTTAATTACAGAAAATCAGACAACTCCACAAAAAATGGTGAAAGATTTGAACAGACACTATACTAAAGAAGATACATAGTTGCCAAGTAACCATAAAAGATGCTCAATGTCATTAGTCACCAGGGAAATAGAAATTAAAATCACAATGAAATAACACAACACACCTATTAGAATGTTTAAAATTACAACTGACTGTACAAAGTTGGTGAGGATGTGCAGCAACTGGGACTCTCACTCATTGTCCATGGAAGCGGAAAACAGTACAGTCATGTTGGAAAACAGTTTGGCAGTTTCTTAAGAAGTCAAGAATGTGACTACCCTACGAGCTGGCCACTCCACTCGTTGGTTTTGACCCAAGAAAAATGAAAGCATGTGTGCATTCAAAGAGCTGTACTTGAGAGTTCATAGCTGTCACAGTCGTAGACAAAAACTGGAAAGAACCCAAATGTCCATCAACAGATGAATGGATAAACAAGTTGTGGTAGATCCATACATGGATCTGTTCTCCTCTAGAATAAAATACATGTTTATAAGTTAATGTTTTGGGAAACATATGCCTGAACCTCGGGTTTGGGTTTGGTGCTCTAACAGCTCACACATGTATCCACCACGAAAATATTTTAAATGACTGTTCTTTCTGCGGGAAGAACATTTTTAAATTAACCATGAGGAATGGAGATTATCAATTTCAAACATCCACTGTGTGTCAAGCACCCTGCAGAACACTTCATAGCCATGATCTTTTTATTCCTTGTAATAGTCTAGCAAAGTCGTGTTGTTCCAATTTTACAGTTGAGAAAACTCAGGGTCACAAAGGTTAAGTAACTTATCTGAGGTTACCAAGCTTAAAAGGAGTGAAGCATAACCTTTAATCAACACCTTCCTGTACTGTTTACAGATTAAATCCAAACAGGTTAGCAAGGCATTGCAAGCCCTTGCAGTGGCCCTCCATCTTCATTTCCCTCCCTACACTTAGCCCATTTGTTGTTGCCTCAACAACACGTCTAGATCTATGTACCCTAATTCATGCTGTTTCCTCAACTATGCCTTTTAGATGCTACTCATCCCTCAAAGCTCAATTGAAATGCTATGGTCTCCCCAACAAAGCATTCCCTGATTCTCCCTACCTGTGTGACCTGACACCTCTGTAGAGACTTATTTCACCTGTCTCTCACAGCAATACACAAATATCCCAAGTTATACTTCTTCAAGGACAGGGCC